AACCATGTGATATGAATATATCATCTAGTCAAAAATGAATATATAAATTTAAAGAGAGGTTTGGACTCTCAGATCAGACCCAGATGAACAAACCATAGACATTTGGAATGTACATTGGAGGTCACCATATCTGTGTTTTACTTCTCTGTTTTTCATGGAATGTACCTCAGTGGAAGACAGTCATAAAATATTCTAGGATGCCTTTCATCATCAACGATCATAAAATATTCTAGGATGCCTTTAATAAAATTTACAAGGATAGGCTGAATAAGGTAAAACTATTTCAGTGCTTCACAAATTGCTTTAACCCATAATGCAGGGTATGTTTTCAGTTAAGATTATTGTGAATTATGTGACAGAACATCATTCTCATTTTGATCTAGCAGTTCAGGGCCTAATTCAAGCTCAACATTCATAACTGTTGGGGCCATCTGGGCCACTCTGTGTTTCTAAAGCTTTTCCCTTAGGCATAAACTCAGGATTTATTTTTCATGATTCCATTTTGATTTGTCTTTTTATTTTCTTCTTTTATTCGATGATTCTTTTAAATCATAAGAACTACTTAATGGAATGAGGTGGAATATTCTCAGTATTTATTCTAGAAAGTAACCATGAGTATAAGAGAATATACTTGAAAGGGTTTGTACTGTTTTATACAGTATTATCTGGCCTTTTTGGATCGTAAAGAGTAGCCCACTAAACAAAGAAGCAGAATACTGAATTAAGAATGTCTATATTCGTTAAAAAAAATGATTGTGGTATAATCTTAGGAACAAGCTTCAAACCAAGCTACCTATTAATTTTGAGATGAAAGTTAGTTATAATGCATAAACTTCTAACCTTCTACTAACTGTGAGGGGCAGAGCCTGGGCTAGAACCCTGTACGTCCTGAAATTAAGGAAAAGTTTTCCCAGGATGGAGACAGATGAGAGACGTGATGTGGGAGCCAGAACCAGAGACAGGCAGGAAAGATAGACTTGAAAAGGGGCTATAATCCAGATAAGGATTAGCATGTTGGAATATTATCCAGATTAGGAATTTGCTGTAATTCAGATTAATACCAACATTTTAGAATGCTATTAGTACCATCTATAAATCACACTTGCACTTATTTTCTATTTATAACATTGTCAATAATTCAGAAAAACTCAGGAACAAGTGAAATGACCAAACATAAGGGATAAATAGTAAACTATCTACTCAAAGTACAGAATGTTATGCAGCCACTAAAAATAATTGTTTCAAAAAGCATTGTGAGCCACGCACAGTGGCTCATGTCTGTACTTTGAGCACTTTAGAAGGCTGAGGCAGGAAGATCATTTGAAGCCAGGCATTCAAGATCAGCCTGAGCAATGTAACAAGAGCTTATCTCTACAAAAACAAAATAAAATGTTTTTAATTAGCTTGGCATGGTGGCACACACCTGTAGTTTCAGCTACTTGGGAGACTGAGGCAGAAAGATTGCTTGAGCCCAGGAGTTCAAGGCTGCACAATATGCTATGATTGTGCCACTGTACTCCAGCCTGAGTAACAGGGCAGGTCCCAAGACCCTGCCTCTAAATAAATAAATATATATAATGATATGATTAAAATTTCAAATAGAATGCAGAGTGAGCAAAGAGAATATAATTTTGTTAAATTGACCCATGGAAGAAGTGTTAAGAAAGGCAATAGTTTGTTTACACAGTCAATTTTATTTTCTCTTTTGTAATTTCTTCTAGTTGCAAACACTTTTGCAGTAAAATCTATTATGTTTTAAAGCTAGGAAAATTATATTCTAAGGTTTTCCGCAACAAAAACCTTGACTACAATAAGTCTGCCAGTGTGCAGGCATCCTTTCTGAATCACAGATCCACTCTGGTCCCTCAAGGTAGAGACATGAACTAAACTCCTAAAGCTCGACAGTATAATGCACAGAGAGCATGTGTCTCAGACATTTATGGAAATGCAACATCCAAATCAATTAAGGCAACATATACAAAATCACTTCTTAAAATCAGCAATGCAGGTGAATGTCAGATACATTTAAAAAAAAAAAAAAAAAAAAACAAGCAGGCCGGGAACGGTGGCTCACGCCTGTAATCCCAGCACTTTGGAAGGCGGAGGCGGGTGGATCACGAGGTCAAGAGATCAAGACCATCTGGTCAACATGGTGAAACCCCGTTTCTACTAAAAATACAAAAAATTAGCTGGGCATGGTGGCACATGCCTGTAATCTGAGCTACTCAGGAGGCTGAGGCAGGAGAATTGCCTGAACCCAAGAGGCGGAGGTTGCAGTGAGCCGAGATCACACCATTGCACTCCAGCCTGGGTAAACAAGAGCGAAACTCCGTCTCAAAAAAAAACAAAAACAAGGAAACTGACCAAACTGAACATGTTATAATTGTCGGTAATGTATTCACCTATGTATGTCTTTTAAAAAGAACACTGGTGAATGAGGACATCTTTTGTAAACCAGGGCCCTCAGATGTTCTCTTTAGTCACTAGATTCTATTCTTTTTTTTTTTTTGAGACAGAGTCTTGCTCTGTCACCCAGGCTGGAGTGCAGTGATGCGACCTCGGCTCACTGCAACCTCCACCTCCCAGGTTCAAGCAATTCTCCTGCCTCAGCCTCCCAAGTAGCTGGGACTACAGGCCTGCACCACTACGCCTGGGTAATTTTTGTATTTTTAATAGAGACGGGGTTTCATCATGTTGGCCAGGATGATCTCAATCTCTTCACCTTGTGATCCGTCCGCCTCGACCTCCCAAAGTGCTGGGATTACAGGTGTGAGCCACCACACCTGACCATAGATTCTAATCTTTAGTTACTGTATTCCACATAGAAAAGACTGGAAGAGCTTTTTGCAGCAACTTTGCATTATGTGAGTAACACTAGCAGCAGCCTGTTACTTCCTGCAGCACCCAGCATAGTGAACATATTGAAAGCCTGACCTCAATTTGCTGACTGTCAATGAGCAAGAGCCTCAGTGATACAAAAACAACAAATACAAGTTTACAAAGTTTACAGGTTTCTTTATCCTTTTGCTCTATGAAAATATCATTTTCTACTTGGGACTTCAAACCCAGTGACTCAACTAGAATTCTCACCCCATGTAAACTGGTCACACCCTCAAACAAATAAATTATTTATACTGAGCATGGCTACCTGCCCAATAATGTGATGAACACAGATGCTCATTTAACTTAAACATATGGTGAAGAGAAGTAGTATGAGCAAATGTCTGCCCTGTGCTGGGCAGAACCTGGGCTCTGGAGTCTGGGTGCTGCTGGTATCTCCTAGCACCCCAATGAAGCAATTGCTCCCACACATAGCTTGTACTGTAAGGGAGTTTCCATGGCATTTGTAAACTGTCATGGCGCACATGGGAGTACAGCAGTGAGGATGACTAGGACACTCTCATCACCAACTTGGTTTTCTTGGATTTCAGCCATTTTCTTTACTGCTTCCACAGCCTCTCAGAATCAACATGCAGTTCTCTCTGAGGTCTTTCCCTACCTCTTTAAAATATACACTTTCACTCTCAAAACAATGCAGAATGAAACAGTTGTGTTTATATGCTTGAATACAAATTATTTCTGCCTCAGGAAAGAAACTTTTCAGTACATTTAATACCTAAGTATTGCTTTGAATGAGGAAGTACATAAATGAATGAATTTAGGAATGAATGAACAAATGCATGAATATGAAGAACTTTGAACCTAGGGTCTATAAGAGAGCCAGGACACTTATTCATCCAAGGGTAGATGTCTGAGGGAGTAGAGCTGCACAAAGCAGATGAAAAGAAAAGCTGCAGGTGAGTGTATGGCTTTTCAGCCCTCCACTTCCCCACAGCCTGTGGTCCATAGAGACCAAGCTTTGGGTGTGGACCCCAAAGAATGACAAGCAACAGAATGAATGTATGACTGCAGACTTTCCTGGACCCAGCCTTGGCCATAGATCAGTAATAATAACAGCCAGGCATAGTGGCTTGAGCCTGTAATCCCATTGTTACCAGAAAAGGGTCTCCATCTGGACCCTGAGAGGGTTCTTGGATCTCGATCAAGAAAGAATTCAAGAATAGTCCATAAAGTCAAAGCAAGTTGATCAGGAAAGTAAAGGAGTAAAAGAATGGCTACTACACAGACAGAGCAGCCCAGAAGGCTGCTGGTTGCCCATTTTTATGTTTATTTATTGATTATATGCTAAACAATGGGTGGATTATTCATGTCTCCCCTTTTTAGACCATATAGGGTAACTTACTGAGGTTTCCATGGCATTTGTAAACTGTCTTACCGCTGGTGAGAGTGTAGCAGTGAGGACGACCAGGACACTCTCATCACCATCTTGGTTTTGGCGGGTTTTAGCTGGCTTCTTTATTAAAACCTGTTTTATCAGCAAGGTCTTTATGACCTGAATCTTGTGCTGAACTCCTATCTCATCCTGTGACTTAGAGTGCCTAACCTCTGGGAATGCAGCCCAGTAGGTGTGGCCTTATTTTACCCAGCTCCTATTCAGGATGAAGTTGCTCTGGTTCCAACGCCTCTGACCCCAGCACTTTGGGAGGCTGAGGCAGGTGGATCACTCGAGCCCAGGAGTTCAAGACCAGCCTGGGCAACATGGCAAAAATCCCATTTCTACTAAAAAACACAAAAATTAGCCAGGCAGGTGGTGCCTGGGTCTGGTAGTCCCAGACCCGGGAGGCTGAAGTGGGCGGCCCACCTGAGCCTGGGAGGTCAAGGCCGCAGTAAGCCCTGTAAGTGTCACTGCACTCCAGACTGAACAACAGAGTGAGGCCCTGTCTCAAACAAACTAAAAATTTAAAATGATGGTTAGGCTGACTTTACAAGGTGAGGAAAGCCGGGCCTGACTGGACCGCCCACCCCTCAGCGCTGTCCCCGGGCTCCCGTCAGAGCAGGCTTACCGTGGCACACGCACCCACGCCTGCCGGGCGTGCACTTCCGCTAGGTTCCCTCCGCAGCGCCTATACAGGTAGTGTAACCGGAAGAAGGAAAGGGGCGGGACTTCCCTGGAGTCAAAGCCACGCCTTTTCCAGGCTCGGTGCCAGGTTCCTGTCCCGTGGGGTGGCGGGTCCCAGGAAGGGAAGAGCCCAGTCCCGGTGGACACTGACATCCTCTCTCGCTCTCTGGCGCTCTGCCCAACCTTTTCCAGGCATGTGACTTAATCCGTTCCCACAACCAGCGCTTTCTCCGTGAGTTCCTCAGCCAGGACCGCTGCCATGCAGGTGATTGTTACCCACCCAACCGTCACGACCACTGTGGGGTCCCCAACCGTCCTAGAGTCCCCTCGGGCCCTGACCCAGCCCCTGGGCCTCCACCGCCTGCTGTCCGTCACCCTCTATGCCACTGCCCTTGTCCTCTGGCCTCTCTACCAGTTCAGCGAGAAGTATGCCGCCCAGCTCTGGCGGGCAGTAGATGTGAGCTGCAGTGACAGAAACCCCTACCATGTGTGTAGCTGGGACCGCCGACTGGCTGTGACCATCCTGACGGCTGTCAACCTGCTGGCCTACGTGGGCGACCTGGTGTACTCTGCCCACCTGGTTTTTGTCAACGTCTAAGACTTTCAAAAGGCTCCGTTTCCTTCTGCAACCTCTTCATCCTTCTCCCCCGAGTTTTCTTTATTGCATATTCATTTCCTCTGTTTTTCTCTTCCTGTCTCCCCTCCTCCCCCTTTTACTTTTTTTCTAAATTCATCGCTCGCTTTCCCAGTTCCCTGATGCATCTTCTTCCCTTTCCCTCTGGCCGTTTCCTACCTATTTTGTTCTGTTGCCCACAATGTTTTCACCCCTGAGCTGTTTCTCTATTTCCAGTCTCTCTTTTCTTTCCTTCCTCCTATCTCTTTTCTAGGTTTCCTGTTGGTTTTCTCATCTGCCTGTTTCCCAACCAGCTTCTCCTATTTCCTCTGGAGCCCTGACCCTTTTCTTCTCCTGCCCCCACCCACCTCCAGAGGCGATGAGCTCCACACCTCCACACCCTTTGCAGCTGTCCGTGCCATGTCCTCCCAAGGGGCCTTCTGCTCACCTCCACCCTAGCTGTGCCTTTCTCAATGTGTACCTATGTGTGTTTGGGGGAATGGGAATTGGATCTCCTTTCTCCCAGTGGAGGAAGGTGTGCTGTGCACCTCTCCTTTAAATTAAAAAATATTTATGTATCTCTAGAGGTCAGTGAGCAGGAGGCTTTAAGCACAGACCCTGAATGCCAAGGCCCTGCCTTGCACTCTGATATGCCAGAGATTGGCTCCAGAATTTTTGCCAGGCTTACAGAAAACCCACTGCCTAGAGGTTATCTAAAAGAAAGCAAGGGACAAATGCCTTTCATCCCAACTGTTCTTTTCAGTATCAAAAAAAAAAGTCAAGTACAGAACCACAGGATCTTGAAGACAACTGTTGGAAGTATTTGTGAGGGACAGTGATGTGCCCTTCCAGCCTCAATGTTAAAAATAACATGTCCTTCAGAATTTGTGGAAGGAGATAATAAGTAATAAATAAATAAACAACATGTTCTGCTTTGGCAAAGAGGAGAAAATGGCCACTGCCGGCCTTCAAGGCAGTATCAGCTTTGATTTCTTTTCCTTTCTTCTTCCTGGTCATAAGGGCAGAAATTTTACTGGATGGCCCTTAAAAATGTAAGTTTTGGCCCTGCTGAGTAGCTCATGCCTATAATCCCAGCCCTTTGGGAAGCCAAGGTAGGCAGATCATTTGAGGTCAGAAATTCGAGACCAGCTTGTGCAACATGGCAAAAATTCGTCTCTACTAAAAACATAAAAATTAGCCTGGTGTGGTGGCAGGCGCCTGTAGTCCCAACTTCTCGGGAGGCTTAGGCGGACTTGTTTGAACCCAGGAGGTGGAGGTTGCAGTGAGCCAAAATCACACCACTGCACTCCTGCCTGGGTAACAAAGCCAGACTCCATCTCAAAAAAAAAAAAAAAAAAGGAAGTTTCTTTTTTCTCTTTTATGAGCGGGTGGGAAGGTGGGGATTGCTGCTGCCCTAACCAGAGGAGTGGCTTTGCTTGACTGTGTGGTACACATGCCCAGGTGTTGCCATGTGCTAATTCCTTCCTGCTGCTGCTTCCTGCTTCTCTGGGACTCATGTGCATAATGTGATATATATAAATATGTGTGTGTGTATGTGTGTGTGTGTGTGTGTGTGTGTGTGTATTAATTCCCTGGAACTTTTGGTTCCTAACAACTCCTCCTGTTAATCATAAAAAAGGGCTTGTCCCTTCCCCCACTCCTACATCCATGTTTTTTTTGAATATCAAAATAAAGGTAAATAATAATATAACAACAATAGAGCCATAGTTTTTTTGTTTTTGTTTTTGTTTTGAGACAGAGTCTCACTCTGACTTCAGACTGGAATGCAGTGGCATGATCTAGGTTCACTGCAACCTCCAACACCCTGGTTCAAGGGATTCTCCTGCCTTAGCCTCCCAAGTAGCTGAGACTGCAGGCGTGCACCACCATGCCCAGCTAATTTTTTTGTATTTTTAGTAGAGATGGGGTTTCACCATGTTGGCCAGGATGGTCTCAATCTTCTGACTTTGTGATCCACCCACCTCAACCTCCCAAAGTGCTGGGATTACAGGTGTGAGCCACCGCACCCCCTCACCCCCACTAGTCATAGTTTTAGTAATAATAGGTAACATTTTTGAGTGATTACCATGTTCCAGGCAGTAAACTACGCTCATTTCCTCAGTTGTCTCAACCAAGCTTCACTATAATCCAGTTAAAAGGTACTATTATTAGCTCCATGTTACAGATCAAAATTCTGGCTTAGAGAAGATAATTAGCCTAAACTACACAGCTAGTCTTATGCTATACATTTGGTAATTAAATTACAGGGTACCAATTATATTTTACATTTTATATGGAATTAGAGTGTACCAATGTGGTCAATGTTTCTCAAGCCAGCTGCACATTAGCACCATCTAGCATCCTTCACTCAGGGAGTTCTAAAGGATTTCTATTCAGTAGTGCTCAAATGATTCTGAGTCCTAATCTTAGCGATGAGGCAGGATTGAATACCCTTGAGGGAGTTAGCCAGGCCCTTGGGTCACAAACACACTGGTTGAATAACAGACAGGCATTCGAGACCACCCCTCATTTGCATATAGACTCAGCACAGCTAACACCAAAAGTGCCCTCCTCTCCAGCTCTGTTGTTACAAACCTCAAATACAAAATTGAGATGTTTATTTCTTCAAATTACCTACCGAATGTTTACCTTGAAAAATAAGGGAAATGCCACCAAAAATTAGAATAAAAAGACTACAGTAGAATAGAAACTTCCTTCCAGGGAAAACACACTGAAATAATTCATAGACTGTGAAAGCTAGTGAAACATGTATAGATCATCCAGTCCATTGGTTCTCAATCCTGGCTGCACAATAAAATCACTTGGAGAAGCTGCTAAATAATACAACTGCCAGATCCCACCCCACAATGTCTGGTTTAATTGATCTGGGGATAGAACCTGAAAATTGGTACTTTTAAAAGCTCCCAAGGGGATTTTTTCCCCATGATAGGGAAGCACTGATTTAGTCCAGCTCCTCATTATTTGTAAAATGGCTTGCCCAAGGCCACCTAGAATGTCATGGGCAGGGACACATATATCTAGTCTTTGAATCCATATTGAATCAGAACTATTGTTTCTTTCCAAAAATATTCAAGAAATCTTAGAAAAGGTGCTAGCTATAAAATGAAATCAAAATCAAACATGATTACAAGTAACACACTAATACCTAACATACCACAATTGTTACTTTTCAATGAGTCAGGGTATTAATTGTAATTACTCATTAAAGATGTTCTATTTTCCTTCCTTCAGTTATAGAGAGTGTGAAATCTTTCAGAAAAACCACATGGAAAGGTGATTGTCCAGATGCTTGCTAATGGGTGCAATGCCTTTGACCACATAAGGTTACATGCTCAGTGTGATGCATTGAAAACCATTGCAGTTAATGAGCTGATCCTAATTGTGCTCATTTTCCAGCAGCCTCAATAGGCTTGTACCCTGGGAGACATAATGTGTTTCTGGTCACTCATTCTAACCCCAGAAATCAAGGAAAATAACAGACTTCCAGAGAAGCCAGACTGACGGGGTGATCCTGTGACCAGGCAAGCATGGGCTCTTGACAGTAAATCCCAGAGAGGAACAGAGAGGTGCAGATACTTGATCATTCTTTGCCTGTAAACATAATGCTTACATACCCCGAAATCTGACGGTGAGTATATGTTCCAGGTGACCAAAATAAATATTTCTGTCTACAAGCTAAAGAAAATAAAATATCAACAGTTAAATCCTACATGAGCGAAGTATCTTTAGTCAGCCACATAGAAATAGGTCAGTTTTATGTGAAAAATGTTTCAGACAAATTAAGAATTTTAAAAAACAGTGAAGTTAAAGATAATGTTTAATTTTACTTTCCAGACCACAAATTTTTAAGGCCTCTAGCCCAACCATTTATGCAAAGTGCTAATTAAAAATGTTATCTGTATACTAAAGGAGTTTCTTGTGTAGTATTAGAGTCCAGTGCCTTCAGCAAATGTGGATTGAATGTTTATGACATGACTTATTGAAGATATTATATAATTAATTTGTACTTTTTTTTTTTTTTCCTGTTGCTGTAGCTCCATCTGAAAGGAAGGAATCAAGCCTCTGGGTTCCTGAGGTCAGGTCCTTTTCATTCCCAAAAACACAGATTTTTTTGTGGTGGGTCTGAGGCTAGGTTCTCTGGGTTTTCCAGTGCTTCCTGAAGCCCTATTTTTGAAAGAAGAAGCAGGATGAATTTTTCTGTATTGGGGAGATTGGAAAGGGAGAAGTAGACATTGCTCCACTAGATAATGCAGAATTTTGAATAAGGACAAGGTTTGCAGATTCTGCCGCAGCTCAGGGGCAGGGTCTTGAAGGTGTCAGGCGCTTAAAAGGTACAGGTCAGGACATCAGGAGTCCAGTTTGGGGACCTACCCAAGATGCTGTCGTGTAGAGTTTTCACAGAATCTGAGCAAGGACCTGGATCTGGAGCTGTGGAATAGCAATGCTGGGCCCACATATGGACCCAGCATCAGAGCCACAGCATCGTGTGACCATAGGAATAACAGCCATAAATGCAATCCTGGATGAGACCAGGGATTTGCCCCACTCAAGAACTGGGAGGCTACAGGACCCTTTATAAAGATGATACAAGCCTACAACATGACTGTATAAAACAGGGTCGGACATCTTTTTAAAATGATTAATACTGGATTTTTCACTGGTTTGTACATGTGGGAGCTAATACCAGTTCTAATAAAATCCTTCTAAAGAATGATAAATTTATCTCCTGAATGTCAGGGAAAAAATTGGTATCTATTACATATGTGTAAGAAGCTTTATTAACAAATAATTGGTGTCACTAAATCATTTGAATGTAATGCAATTATATTTTTTCAACCACAATCTAATTCAGATGTTTTGTGACAATGCAAGGGAAAAAAATGGACGTCTGTGTGGATATCATTAAAGACTCTTCTCCACACAAATCCCTACCACTCATTGGATTAGAAAAGGATTTCCTGAGATCTTGCTAAAGAAATCTAAAAGGTAGTTAATTCAAATGTGAACACTCTCTCATCATAGTATATAAATAAATAAATAAATAAATAAATAAATAAATAAATCTCATTTATTTTTCAACAAATATATGTATTACATTCCCACTGCCTGCCAAGCATGTCTGTAGTCAACTCTCCTTTGATGCCTGGCTATGCAGGTTTTGGAGATATAATAGAGGGAAAGAAAAATATGTTTGCTGTCCTCATGGAGTTTTTAGTTAAGTGAAAAAACAAAAAAAAACATATCAAAAAACTAAAATAAAATTTGGTAGGTGCCATAATGGGAGAAGTACATGTTCTATATTAGCAAATAGCAGAACATAATCTCTATGAGGGTAGTATCTCAAGGAAGTAATAAACTGAGAGTAAGAGGATAGGAAGAGTCAGCCAGGCCTCTCACTATCTCTTCCACCACCAAATTGAGAACATGTTGTGAATTTCAGTGTCATAAGATCTTTCGAATCCAGGTAAGCATCCAATCAACAATGTATTTGAATTTAGAGAATTGCCCAATAGGATAAAAGAGGGCTACCTAATCCAGTGCCCAAGCTCCCTTATTAGCCAAGCTGCCCTCTGTGTCACTTCCCTCAGGAAGGACCCACTTGAGCTATGAATCCCATTCTCTCTGGCCTTTGCAAGGCTTCACTTCTCGAATTCTCCTATGTCTTCCACCTCAACAATGCCTCCTCTCTACTGGGTCAAGTCCTTTGGTGGCACACATGTCGTAATAACATACCCATGGTTTGTTTATTTAAAGAAAAGAAAGCAAAACAACCTCCTTTGTCCATAGGTATACACACACACACACACACACACACACACACACACTCACTGTCTCTCTCTATATATATACCCTGCTACCACCTCCCTTCTCTGCCCCCTTATAGCAAAATTCCTTGGAAAAGTGCTATATATTACCATTCACACTTATTCATTCCCCCTCCAACCACTTTAATCAATCTTTCTACTCCTCTACTTCACAGAAATGCCTCTTACCAAGATCAGCAATTATCTCCTTTTTTCCAAAGCCAGCTGACAATTCTCGTCCTCATCTTCCTCATCCTCTTAGCCACATTTGATGTGCTCATCAACAATCTCCTTGAAACACTTTCTGCATCAGATTCCTACACCCAAACCCTCCACTGATTTGACGCTACTCAGTCTCACGCTGGCTCTGCTTTCTTTACAAATCGATGAATACTGGTATATCTCCAGGGCTCAGTCCTCAGATTTCACCTTTCAACCTAACCTTACTCCCTCGGAGATCTCACACACTTTCCTGGGTGCAAATCACATTCATCCACTGATGACTCTCAAGTTTCTATCTCAGGCTTAGTCCTGTCCCACAAACTCCAGATTCCTCAAACCTCCTGCCTCCTCCACAGCCCTTCTGTAAAGTGAGTGGCCAAAAAAAAACTGTTGATTTCCACGACCGTGTAAATCTATCCACCTTTCAACTACCCATCTACACACTCCTAATCTCCTTTGCCTGGCCACACCTTTTATTTTTCCATAGCACTTATCACCTTCTAACATACTGTATGACTTTATTTATTTAACTCATTA